CCCAGGTCTCCAGTCCTCTGAAACTGGCGTCTACGCACATTTCTCAATCGAATCAATAATTGGGTGTGGGAATCAATAGCAACAAACTTACCCCTCACAGGAACTTGTCGAACGCATGTCTCGTCAGCCTCGGATATGGCCTGTTGGAGTCCTTCCAACGTCCGGTCGATGTCATCTACGGTGTCGAGTAGTGGATTTTCATCGATGTTGCTGTCCACCATTCGACCGTACTGCACCCAGTTGACATGGTGGTAGTCTTTACGCAGGCAGCCTCTAGCAGGAACCACGTTGACACCGACTTCAGTCACCACCGGTTGGTGGTCGGAGCTGAGATCGTTGTGCGCCTCCGGCTTGGATAGTCCGATGTTTGACAGGAAAAAGTCTAGCGTGGAGGGATTTCCCGCTGGAGAGATGAAAGTTGGCTCGTCCGGAAATTGCACTGTGTACAGTCCATGTTGTGCGTGGTCGAACAATAGACATCCGTTTCGATTCCTCTGGTAGTTCCGCCAAGCTTCATGGCGGGCGTTCAGGTCGCCCCCAACGATGAATCGGGAGCTAGTACGGGTGATGGCGGTCAGGTCCTTCTTGAATTGGATTCCTAATCCGTTGCTTGCGGTACACTGGCGTGGGCAGTAAACAGCGATGAACCGGACGTTTCCAGTTGGTGATTCCACCTCCACACTAATGGCCTCGATGATAGAAGTGCGGATGTGGGGCAGAGTGCAAAACTTGATTCCCTTTCTGACGATGACCGCTACACCACCCCCCCTGGAGCTGGTGCGATCAAGCCGGATAATGTTGTGGTCAGGCAACCAGAAGCTGTCACCGAACTTTAGGTGGGTTTCGGTTAGAAGACCCACGTCGATGCTATGCTTGCGGAGGAAGTCGGCAAGCTCAATCTGTTTAGCTCTTACAGAGCAAGCGTTCCAGGTAGCGATGGTTAGCGGTTTAGACACCATATTGGATGATGAACTTACCGAGCACTTGGATCTGTTCGGGCTTATTGCGGCACTTACGTAGAGCACCGGTCATGTTGATAAAAATCTCCATCAGTTCGTCTGCTGAGAACAGATCGGGATTGTTTGTTTGAGCTGTTGGTTGCCTCCAGAATCCAGGGGGGGATGGAGAGCTTTGTCCAGCAGAAGATCCAGACGTTTCTTGAGGGGGCGCGGATCGCACCCTGGGATTCGCTTGTCCACGAAGAGGTGGAAAGTCCTCTGTCCTGAAAGCCGGGGCCTTATCCTTCCTTCGTGCTGGTTGTTTGTTGGTGGACGCTTGATTTCGGATGCGCTTGAAATCCTCGCGTTTAGGGCACTGCTTGTTGGATCCTTGGTGAGCACCACCACAGTTGGCGCATTTGGACGCCACAGCTTCATCCGCAGCACATTCGGAGGTGGCATGGTCTTGAGCGCAATTTCCGAAGTTCAGACACCGCTGGCACTGAGTCACATCGCGATGGCCGCCACGGTATGGCTCCCAGCGAACGATGATGGAATTGATGGACCGGATGGCTTTGAGTGCGTTGAGCGTCACCGTTCCCTTCTGGAAGTGTACCAGGAAAAGGCTATCCGGATACGCCTTCACATTCTCGTCTCTTCTTGTCATTCGATACACGGCACTTGGGGCCAGCTTGTACCGGTCCCTGATTTCTGATTCGATAAACTTCGGGTCGAAGTTTGGTAGGCCCCTGATGACGACCTTGAACGGCTTCTCACCGGGAATGTCGTGGGTAAAGAATTCCACCTTGGAAGTCCTCAGGTGGGCGACGACCACGTCAAACTCCGTTTTGGTACGGAGCATCACTTTAGTGCCGACTCTGCCCAACTTGTATTCGGCTTTAACACCCAGCGTCGCTAGATCCGCAATGAGCACATTAAGATGGGCATTTTTCACTACCAATGGAAGTAGCTTCACTTTTGCCGTGCTCATTTCGGCAGTATTCACGGTTTCGGCAGCGTCACCGAAATCTCCAACATCGCTGTTGTTCGTCGCAGTGACATCGGACTGGCCTCGATTCTTCTTCCTCTTCTTACTGCGTTTTTCCAACACAGCTGGCTGGATATTCCCATCCATGGGGAGAACAGCAAACCTGTTCGAGGTAGGCACACCGGAGCTTCCTTCTCCGGGGTTCTGGACCTTCGCCGGGCTTCGTGACCGATGCTTCCCCATTACGGGGCACACACACACGCACGACAAACCGCGAAGGAGAGAACACGAACACTATCGCAATGAACTTTTCAAACAACTCGAGAGAGCGAGCTAACACCGAACTGAACTGCTTGACGATCAAGCAGAGAATGACTGACTGAAAATAAACTCGACGGTACCTCTATTTATGCTAAGAGATAAGCATTGCAAGTCCCTCCTACTTGAAGAATTATGCAAAAAAAAAAACAGGGGTTGTATAAACCGTTCTATAGCATAATTTTCCAAGTAGGAGGGACTTTCATAGCTAATCTAAAAGCATAAATAGAGGTGCCGTCTTATAATTTATCACATTTATCCTTTTTATCACCACAGAAACACCCCGTTTCCATTTTCTTATGCAAAATAATGAATGTGCGTTCACAAAACGCACGAAATCTTAAAAAAAAATATTATGATTTTTTTAATTCAATCAATAGATTAAAGACGTACCAAGAATTAAATGGAGGGATTTCAAGCTAAAATGTTCTGATCGCGAAATATTGACTATCAATACCGAAATTTCGCATAAATGTCCAACCCATTTTGTGTGGTGTGTGCTGCTGTCTTTCAGTGTTGCACAATGATTAGGGAACTTTCATAAATAACGTAGTAGTTGAGGGAGGAGAGGGGTTTCAGAAGTTGGGACCGGCCATGTATTAGGTGTATTGCAAAACATGCTCCGAGGAGGAAGGGAGGTTAATTGGTCAAAAATATACGTAATTTATGGATGGCCCTAATGTTACTGCCAAGGCTGTTACAGATGAGTTATCGAATAACCCTGCTATCCGAGCGTGGTTATTTCGGACCGACTAGAAGTTAAATTTTGGTAACCGTGCCTGAGTTCTGTTTGAAAACTGATCAATTTCCGGAATTTTCGAACATTGAAAATAACTTACGAAATGTCACGTTTAATCACGAGCTAAATTTAACTCGGCAATTGGTACACAGTCCAATAAGTATTTCTCGATTACTTTTTCGAAGGAACGTATCAGCTTTTGTAAACAACGCATTTGATCGTCCACTGGTAGCTCGCCTACGCATGCTAGTCGAGGCGACGCCGCTACCAGAAGCCAATGATCTCGACGGGAACGACGCGCAAAGTTCGAGGTGCAAAACTTGAACTCTGCGCGCTTGACAGGAACCGCCTTCCTACCGCTGCTACTGCTACTGCTGTTTCTACCTGCTTACTCGCCGTCCGAAGCGAAAATGAGTTGAGGCTCATTAGCAGCGCTGTTTTATAACTTTTCTGATTCAAGCAGCACGATGTGCAACCAAATTGTACTTGATTATGAGGCCTGGGTTTAGGGAGAACGTTTATTTCATGAAAACAGTGATAAAATTATCACTTTTTATTTGTCTATTTTCAAAGTTTATTATGAAAAATTAAAAAAAAAAGTTTATTGCAACACCTTACGAAAGGTATTTCCTATCGATTGGTGTATTCGGATTTTAATTTCATCTATAAATAACAAAGCTTATAGCGTTCAAAAAATTACACCTTTTCGTGACGGTCGCAATTTTAGATTTTCGATTTACCCCCAGTACCTTTCCGTAAGACGTAGTCTACGTCAAAAGATTTTGCAGTAGTGGTGAACGTTTCAGTTGATACCAAATAACCATACAACAACCTGTCAATACTTTGACCACTAGACCTATTTGTGTATGTAGGAATCATTTGACGTTTAATCCCTTCTAATGTTCCGTCTAAATCCATGTTAATTAATTTCAATGTCGCTAATATTTATGATTGACACCAATTCGTACTCCCGTGTCACAATCAATTTTATGTAACAGAACGGAACGGAATGGAAACCACCTAATGAGCTTCATGATTTTGCACCATTTTTCGTACATTTCCTCTGCAGCCGACAATATCAAAACAAACTAAAAGTGATGATTCGTACATGAGAAATCACCTCATGCATATCCGATATCCGTTTAATTTTTTGTTCGCCCTTAGTTCGCCGTTGTAAATGCTGACTAATGTCGAGGCACGAGCACGATGAAACGTGACGACAACGATGACGACGACGCCGGCTGCGGCGGCGGCGTGAGACGCGAAGAAAAGAAATAATTGCAAAACAGCTCACATTTGATTCCCGCGCTGCTAGGAGGCACCTTTATTTTCACCTGCAGGTGAATTTCCGCCCGGTTTTATTCTCTATTTAACAAAGATTGATCAATAATTCGAGTGAATATCGCTGTTGTTATATCGTGTCAGCCTATGGTGTGGTTTTTGCTTTGCTTTCCGTTCAACATACTGTTTTCGAAGGGCGGGTAGGGCGGAAGGTAGAAAAGTATGTGCATAAGCACTCTCTCATCGTTGGATATGTGTTGGAAGGGTAAATATGTGGTGACTTCAACGGATGGTTCGAAGGCGAAACTTTTTTTTTTCTGTGATACTAAATTTGTTTATAGCTGGGAAAATGATCGTTAAGCGAATTTTCATGGCGAAATGAATTACCTACAAGGTCATCCCAGAAGCGAATTCATATTCATTTATGCTTTACTACGTTCGCAATCTGATCACTCTTAGTGTGGTTATAAATCATGATTTAACGTACACCAGTTCAATGTCATTATGGAATTGAATTTTCTATTCCTGCAAATAACTATCAGATGAGGAATATCGCATTATTCAGACACCAAAAGTGTCCCATCTTCACACCACATCGGAGTGCTTCGCGATCAATTTACCCACCCGGCTGCTTTCAAGACGGCAAAACTTTTCCTTCATTTTCAGGCAAGATTAGAACACTAGAAGTATAATTTGTTTGAGCGTTTTCTTATTCTCTCCCGAAACAAAAAAAAAGGTGGTTTCGATGGAACGTCCAACGTGCTGGCAGGCAAACTTTTCAACATTCCGGTGAAGGGTACCCACGCCCACGCGTACATCACCTCCTTTACCGGCATCGAAGAGCTGAAGACACGTGTACTGGCGCACAAGGAAACCGGTAAGTAGCTACCCGGAACCCTTTTTGAATACCGATCATGAAACTTTTTTTTCCACTCTAAAAAGGGGACAAACGCGACCTGCTGGAACTGGCCATCCAGCACCGGATTCAGCTGTCCAAGATCCTGGACATTTCAACGAGCGAATCGAGCGAGGGCGAACTGGCCGCGATGGTTTCCTTTGCGATTGCCTTCCCCGACGGCTTTATGGCACTAGTCGACACGTACGATGTTAAGAGGTATTCCGCTTTTAGGCTACACTCTCTCGGATATCTACCTGTATTGGTGTGCATATTTTTATTTTCCTTTCTATTACTATTGTTTACTGATTGTGAGGTTTGGCATTGTTTTTCAAAAGTGATTTTAAATTTAGTTTTTATCGTTTCGGTTGGAACTTTTCTTTCCACTATTCTTCCTTCTGTTCTCGGTTTACTGACATTTCGTCCTACTGTATACACTATGGATTTGGCTTTGGTTTTGTGCACTTTGAGACGTTGATTGGTTCTTATGATTATCATTAGTATTATTAGTTCCCCATAACTGATCAATTCGGATCGACTCCTTGCAAAATTAATGACGAATGAGGTTCCTTTTGCGATGTGGATACGTCAAAAATTTCAAGCAGTTTTCCATTGGTTTGCAAAATAAAATCGATCGACTCCGCAGGGTAGTGCGGACTGAATCGATTTTATGTTGTAATCCAATCAAAAACTGTCAGCTGAGTCATCAACACAGTGCTGGTTTTTAATCTTTCAGAGCCTTTTCGTTTCTGCGGATGAGCTTACAATTAATAATGTGTTACTAAAAAGTATGGTTAATTTCTTCAAAATGACTATTTGACGATAGATAAGAAGAGCAACTACATTTGTGGCTTCTGAATGTTTGGTTCCCGTTTAACAGTTCACATTGGCTCCCAGATGACTTTCATATGGAGTGAGTCTGAAGTACCCAGATGTTTCTCAGACAGACCGCGAGGTGTACTTACGGAGAAGTTTTGCAAAGGATTATCTCAGAACTGCCCTGGCATTTTTTAATCAGAATTGTCATGGAATTATCCTCAAATTTACCTTGAAAATATTTCTTAAAATTTCCATCAGAATTTGATAGCCTTCGCAATGACGTAGTGAGGATATGGAGAAAACCAAGGTGACAAGGCAATGGGTTTCTTCCCTGCGAAAGTTGTCATTCAATCCTTTGTCTGTATCTTGGGGTCAATATGACCCCCGACAATTTTTGCAATCTAGATTATTCATCAAAACGATTTTTTCTCTGACATTGTTGCAAGCTAAAGTCTTCTTGATATGCCTGCCTCTTAGTTGAGACATATTTCGAGTTTTCCGTTTTTCCTTTTTGAAAGATTTTCGCAATGAATTTAGCTTTATTTTAGATGTACAGACAAAAGGTTAATCAATGGGCGTAATTCCAAGGACATTCTGCAGAGAACTCCCAGGGAATTCTGGAAAGTATTCTCAAGGATTTCCGTGCAGAAATTCAAGGTAATTCTGAAAAGAATTCAATGGGCTTAGTGAGGAGAACTTCAGATTAATGCTTTTCATAGTAAAAGTACAGGGTAATTATGATGAAAATTCCATTAGGATTGTAAGCCCAGGAGTATTTCAAAGAAATTCTGAGGACAATTCAACTTCCATGGGATTTCTGGCCAAAAGTCCAAGACAATTATGACAAGAGCTCAAAAAAAAAAACTCCTGCCATGAATTCCAAGAGAATTGCGATAGTGATTACAGGGAAATCTGAATCAGAGAACAGTTCCAACTGAGCTCTAAGGAGCAAAATTAACTTTTGGAGAACATACCAAGGCGAGAAGTTCAGGTGAATTATTTTCACAATAAAATTGCATGGTAGGATAACATAAATGGGTTCTTTAATTTTGAAAAATGTATCGGTTTTTATACATCATCTGAAAGTGCTTCGTTTTCTGAGCACAGCGATATTTTTTTCGAACCCACACACTTTCATCTTGATTGTTAAATCAAGATTGAAAACAATAATAACTTCACTGTTTGACACTAAATTAACAAACTGACAGCTCGCTCACATATAAAGTGACACTTACTTACTTACTTGAGGGTCCTGTGCACCACCAGCGGTCCAAAGGGCCAACGTGAAAGACTTCCATCCTGGGCGGCTGCTCACTTTTGCCTTGACCTGGGCCCAGGTCAGATTCCTATCGACTAGCTTAATTTCCTTATTGAGGCTCCGCCGTCATGAGCCCCTGGGTCTGCCTCTGCTGCGATGTCCTGCCGGATTCCAATCCAGCGCTTGCTTGCAGATTTCGTTTCCGCCCCGTCGAAGTGTGTGGCCGACCCACCTCCACTTTCGCTCTCGAATTTCTATTGCTATCGGCTTCTGATGACATCGACGATGGAGCTCGGCATTCGAGATCCAGTTGTGAGGCCACCAGGCACGAATTATATACCGCAGGCATCGGTTGATGAAGACCTGCAGCTTTTGAGTGTTCTCCGCTGATACCGCTACCGTAAAGTTGGAAGGGTTGCCCGTGTTGATATCCGACGATTTGGTCTTGTTGACGTTGATGGTGAGACCCGCCGCAGAGGAGCGTTCGGATAAGTCATTGAGCTTACTCTGCATATCAGAGCGCCGTTGTGCTAGTAGAGCAACATCATCAGCCAAATCGAAGTCGTTGAGATGCTCCATGGTGATAGGCTGCCAAAGCAGCCCACGGTTCGGTACACGGTCAATTGCACCTACCATGATCTCGTCGATTACGATGAGAAACAGTAGCGGTGATAGTATACATCCTTGTCTCACACAAGCGACTACCCGGATAGGGTCGGACAAGGCTCCGTTATGCAGAACTCTGCACGTGAGAGCCTCATACTGCGCTTCGTTGAGGTTGACGATTTTATCCGGGACTCCCTTGCGTCTCAGAGCGCCCTACAGATTCTCGTGATTGAAACGGTTGAAAGCTTTTTCGTAGTCAATGAATACCAAATAAAGGGACTCTTGGAATTCATTGACCTGCTCCAGGATGATGCGGAGCGTGACAATATGGTCCACACAAGATCTTCCGGCACGGAATCCTGCCTGCTGCCGTCGGAGGGTCGCGTCGATCTTTTCCTGTATCCGATTCAGGATAACTTTGCACAGAACTTCGAGAACAATGCACAGTAACATGATGCCTCGCCAATTGTCGCACACAGTCAGATCCCCCTTCTTTGGGACGTTCACTAAGATGCCCTGCATCCAGTCGGCCGGAAAAGTCGCGGTGTCCCAGATATTACAGAATAGTTGATGCAACATTTGTGCGGATAGCATGGGGTCAGCTTTGAGCATCTCTGCTGATATGCGATCGACCCCTGGAGCCTTGTTGGATTTCATGCTTCGGATAGCTGCTTCAATCTCCTGCAGTGATGGGGCCTCGGAATTGACGCGAGTGATGCGCCGCACCCTAGGCGGATCATGCTGAGATGTTGATGGCTGGTTGGCCGTCGAAACTTGAAGAAGTTGTTCGAAGTGCTCAAACCAGCGTTTCAGCTGGTCAGTGGAGTCGGTGAGCAATTCCCAACAAACATTGAATGTTAAATAAGAGCTTAAACATTCAGGCAAAACTAAGCTTCTTCAGCTAAAAAATGGCTTATTCAGTTGTTAATCAACTCAAATTGTTTGTTGGGTTGTCCAGTCGTGTCCTCACTGGCATCCTCGGGTACATCCTTGCTCCACTCAGGCGTCCTGAGATATCGTAGAGGAGGCGTATATCGCCAGTGTTTGCGGCTTTCTCCCCTTCGTCGGCCAGAGAGATCACCCACGCTCGCTTGTCCCGTCTGCAAGAGCACTTGACTTCCTTCTCTTGACGGGCTTCGTTCTTGGCTCCTCTGGTTCTCGCCCGCTCTATCGCGGCTTTTGCTTCTCTACGCTCCTCAATCTTCCGCCAGGTTTCATCAGTGATCCATTCTTTCCTCTGGGTGCGCAGCTCACCCAAGTTGTTCTCACTTGTTTCTATAAAGGCATTCTTGATGGCCGTCCATTGTTCTTCTACGCTGCCACCTTCTGGAACGTCCGCAGCTCGAGTCTCAAGTTCTTCAACAAAAGACCTTTTTACCGCTGGATCTTCAAGTCGGCGTGTGTTGAACCGCCACCCGAGTCTCTCCTCCCGTCGCTGGATCCGCGCCATGTGATGTCGGCGCTGCGTTTATTCCGGACATCAAGAAGGCTCCGTCTCCATTTTCGACTGATGCAGATGTGGTCGATCTGATTTTCGGTATGTCCATCATGGGAAACCCACGTGACTTTGTGCACTGGCCGATGGGGGAAGAGCGAGCCCCCGATCACCATGTCGTTATTGCCACAAAATTCTGCAAACAGCTCACCGTTCTCGCTCATTTCGCCGAGACCATGGCGTCCCATGACACGCTCATAGTCCGTGTTGTCGGAGCCGATCTTCGCATTGAAGTCTCCAGTGTAGATCTTGATGTCACCCTTTGGAAACTTATCCACGGCGGCATTCAGTTGACTGTAAAAATTCTCCTTGTCCTGTAGCTCGGCAGCATCGGTTGGCGCATAACATTGGATTATGGTAAGGTTACGAACCCGTGTTCTAAATCTGGCAACGATTATCCTCTCATTAACAGGCTCCCACGTGATGAGCGCAGCACTTGCCTGGACGCTAAGTAGGAGACCAACTCCACGATGGCGGGGAGCTTTTTCACCTCGAATACCAGAGTATAGTAGTACCTGTCCCGACGGCAGTTTGTGTTCTCCAAAGTTTGGCCAACGAACTTCACTCAGTCCCAGGATTTCTAGCTTCATGCGTCGCGCCTCGTTGGCGAGTTGTGCCAGTTTACCCTGCTGACGTGGGCTAACGTCAATACATTCCATGATCCAATTCGTGTCCGTTGTTTTGCGCTAAAAGTCGTTGCCGTTATATCAGTTCGATGTCTTTCTCTGTTGGTTTCTGTAACAATTGTAAAGGTTTCAGAGACAGTAGGTGGTTGGCCTAAGGTCTCCTATCCGCCGTGATGCGGCTGCCATCTTAGGTGTAGCTTCCGGGGAAGAGCATTTCTTATTCAGCCGCTGGATGCCAGTCAGACGCTGTTTGAGCCGCACCTCCATGGTGAACAGCTATGGTTACCGCGCCAGTGTTCGCGTCGCACCTCCTCACTCTGCTATTGTCGGATTGATAACATTGCCCAGGCTACGCCAACCAGCTGTGTCCATGTTTCAGCTGGCAGTCTTTTGTGATCATATGGCTCGTGGAGGCGTGAGGTAGGAACTTGTGCGGACCGGAGCTAGGTATATCGCTCCTTCCAGATTGTCACTCACCATTTTGTAGCCCATAAAGTGACACTGGGGGGCGCTAATAAGGTGATTTTTGCAAATGTAATCGTGCTTATTTAAAATAGTTTCAGTGTTCCAAAATTGATGAAATATTGGATTAAGGTTCCACTTTTAATGCAAATTACGAATATGCATTTACCTCAATACCCTTACAGAACCCAATTATAAAAATTCAATATCGCTGAAACACCCACCAAACGAAATCTTATGTACCCCTCTTTTGTTTGAGGCTAGTTTCAGAATGTCGGCGTCATTTTTCCATTGATTTTTTGGGCTTCAATGATCGAAGGAGTTAATTTTCGGACGTGATTTACACTGAAAATACGAAAAAAATAAAATTTGTTCTGGACCCTCCGATAGAACATTTCCCTTCTAGTCTCATATGAAAGAAGTGACCCTTGCTTTCGTTTGGTGGGTGTTTTAGTGTTACTGATTTTTTCAAATAAGTTTGAGGAAACTTCCATTGAGATTGCAAGTCCAGGAGTATTCCAAATGAAATTCTGAGCAAAATTTCAAAGGAACCCTGATGACAATTCATTTCTAATCAAAATTCCAAGACAATTCTGGCAATAGCTCCAGAAAACTCCTGATGTGAATTACAAGAGATAAGGAGTTCAAAGAAATCTGATTTTGAAAACAGTTCCAAAAGAACTCTAAGGAGCATATTAATTTTTGGAGATCATACCTAGGTGAGATTAATTAGGGAATGCTTTGAAATAATTCCTAAGGAATAATTGTAACGGTAGTTATGAATATAATTCGACGGTAGTTCAAAAAACTCCACGGGGGAAGTAAACCTGTGAAGATTTGCATCTAATTTGTTAAGTTAAGGCTGATGTAGTTAAATTTTTTTCTTATTTTTGAGTAACCTTAACAATTTTGCTGCGAGGGAAATTAAAGCTTACACTTATCTTCAATATTTTAGGACAGGTTTTTTATTTCAAAATTCTGGGGCTTGTGTGATTTCAAACTTGCCAAATTTTCGATGCACTAGACATAGGAAAAAAATAAAAATAACAATGAAAAGGAAAAAAAAATTGTATTATTCAGAAACAAACAAAAACATTCACAATCTCCATCATTTTTTGGTGTCTGACATTTTTGAAAAATATTGAAGATTTCTCACTGAGAAACAATCAGTTTGAGACTTTAAAAAAAATGCTTTTGAAAAATTAATTTTGTGTCAGAACCCTAAAATCTAGGACAATTCACATGAAGATCAAATTTTTCAGGAGGGATCATAATTATAGAACCAAAATTATCATCGGATTAATTTAAATTTAAAATTTAAGAAATGAAGACATATTGTGGATGTAAGGCCCTTCCTATTTAGAAACTTTACCCTAGATTTTGAATCCCTCACCACATGGGCCGAGACCAACGACGAATCTATGACAAAAGGTCGATGGACAAATGGTCGAATGGACTAATGTCGAATTGAACCTAGAGAGACATAAGGTCAAAAGGAATAAAGTTGAATTAGACTTAGAGGACCAAAGGGTCGAGTGGACAAACAGTCGAATTGAACTTAGAAGGACGCAAGGTCGAATAGGAAAAAGTCGATTGGATAAACGGTCGTATTTAACTTAGAGGGACAAAAGGTCGAACGGAAAAAGGTCAAATTGAACTTATAGGGACAAAAGGTCAAATAGAAAAAAAAGTTTAATTGAACTTGAGGACCAAAGGGTCGACCCTAGTGGCCAAAAGGTCGACCCTAGTGGCCAAACGGTCGAATTGAACTTAGAAGAACAAAAGGTCGAATTGGTCCAACGTACAATAGGCCGAAAAGGGACAAAAGTTGAATTGAACTTAGAGGACCAAAGGGTCGAGTGGACAAACGGTCGAATTGAACGAGGACACAAGGTCAGATAGAAAAAAAATCGAAAGGACAAACGGTTAGACTAAAGATCGAACGGACAAAAGGTCGAATTGAACTTAGAAGGACAAAAGGTCGAAATGAACAAAATGTTAAATTTTAAATAAACCTAAAAAAAATAAACTCCATAAAAACTGGACATGATTAAAGAAGGAACATATTACATTAATTTTCCCTAGAAATGCCCATGATTTTAAGAAGGAAATATATTCATTTCCATTTCTATTTCGACGTTTTGTCCATTCCGAACTTTTTTCTCTCTAAGTTCAATTTAACCTTTTGTCTCTCTAAATTCAATTCTTTCTGGCTGGAGTGAGAAAACAGTTACGCTTACCACTCAACGTCAAAACTTAGCACTTGATTTTGGTTTATCAATAAGGAAAGGGGCGTAATTTTGCAATAATGCAATTGTAGTATCGAAATTCTCATGGAAAGTTCGTCAAAACCATTTTTAATTGAATCCAAAGTTCAAGGGCTCGCTAGCTTTGAACGTCACACTAAAAGAATTTTGTAAATTTGATGCGATCTATTCCGATTTTCATGAAATTTTGTTATGGGCATTCACTCTTATTTTTGCAGTAAAATACTTGTAGAATTTTGGACTTGACATTATGAGATTCCGAAGTAGATAAAGTTCCTATGATGCAGGACAAAATTGTTCATTAAATTTCAGATTTTAAAAAGCTGTTTCAAGACTGCCGACTAAGAATGTAGTTATTTGATCGTTAACTTCTTGGGGCCTCAGATAGCCTAGCCGGTTAAGACACGATATTACCAACTCGGAGGCGGTGGCTTCGATTCCCGGCGAGGACAACTTCCCTGGGCAATACACAAAATCGTAAGAAAGTTGGCATAGAAATCTCTCAATTAATGACTATACAAGTGCTCTTGTTAGTTGAGAGCTGTCAAAATGCTCGCGAAATAATATTTCGTCCAATGACTTTTGACATTGAAACTTTCATATTCGTGTTTTCAATTGAAGTATCAATTTAGATGATATTGTCCTGTACACATGTTAAAGATATTTCATGGCAATTCTTAATGAAAAAATAGTTTTAAAGTCTAGGGTTTTCATGATTTTATCTCAAGCAACACACATGTTCTACAACAGTTTATAAAACCTTTGTGTGCCTTTTTTTGTTTGTATAGCAGTTTACTCAACATAATTCTATGAATTTGTGTTACTTGGGCTGTAGTATCTAGAACTAGATATTCGGGAAATTCTTTTCATTCTGAAATTGAAAGCATTGGAAATTTGCCTTGAATATGCTTTCAAAAGTTCAAGGTATTGCTTTGAAAATAAAGAAGATTCAATATGGCTGTAAAAATACCAATTCGATATTTCGGTCATCACAGTAAACCTTAGTTACCGCATAGACGCATCCACATCACAAGGCAAAGAATTCCGCAAACAAATTCCACTGTTCCACACTATCAAACTGACTGTCTAAAACAAGTGTCCCCCTCCTCCCGTCTCTTTACTAACCACCTCAACCCTCTCCACAATTGTGCCCCCCGGTAGCGAAAAGAACGACACAAAAAGTACGCTCCCAGGTGACAACAGTTGTTTGCTAGATACGTCCAACTGTGACCCATGTTGTCCCCTGATCGGTTTCGACTCTAACCAGACGACGACTGCGACGACGACAATGGTGACCGACGAACTCGACGCCGACACGGCCCCGGCCGAAGACGGCACCGAGGCACAGTCAACCGAACCGAACGAAACGGAAGAGCAGGAAGACTCTGGTGGTCCAATCGATAGTAGTACTTGTTATTATTGTTCTGGTGGCATGGCACGTGTTAACGACTACTGTGAGAACGGTAATCTTCAGCAGGGTGATGATACTAATGAAAATGATGATGCTGCTAGTGCTACCAGCCCACCAGAGGCTACCGATGCCACCGGCGCCGAGAATGAAGGTGACACGGCCGTCGATGATGATGGAGGACTGTCCAATGGGAACGGGATGTCTACCGAGAACGGCAACGGGAATGAGGACGATGAGATGACGCCGCTGCCGATGTGTGCCAACTGTGAGGCCAACGCACGAAATGCCAGAGGCTGCGTCGTCCGTCATCTCAAGTCTGTCGGGAAGTGCTTCAGGTAAAGCGTTATTCCATGCCCCTGATGAGCGAACTAAAACTCAAAGCCGCTAGCTGATCTTAGAGTAACCATTCCTCCCCTCTATCAGTGAACCATTCCTTTTTTTATTCGCTTTGTTTACGTTTGAATCCTACTCCCTATCTAACCACCCTGTGCGTAAAATCTGGGATATTGTGGAAATTAATTGTGCCAAAAGAAAAGATACACCCATGCGCATGGCGCTAACGAATCCTAGGTTTTCTGTGTCAGGGTAGTCATCGCTGGTTCACATTAATTTATCGTGTTATTGATTCTAATTGCAAACACCCCACAGCCAACACTAATTCTAACATATTTTAGTTTCGGATGTGGCTGCTCGTGATCCGTTCCGTTTTATGTTTCGTCAACTCAGTGGTGCATGTTAAGGCCGAGCGCGTACACTTCCAACATACATTTTCACGCTGCAACATAAGACCGAACCCTTGTCACAAATTCAACTACAGACCGACACTTACACCACATCTCTATCATCGGTTCACCCGTTCTCCTTAGGAGTTCACCATTGGCATCCCAAAATTCTAGCAGCAACTCTAACTCGGACTCCACATGCTATAAATGACACTTTTTAACAGTAGATTTAGGCCTGCTAGTGAAGAACGTTTCTTTATCCGAAAACTTCAATTTTGTTACTTTCAACTTATGTTACTTGTAAGCTTTTCTTTTATTCAACAACTATGAAGCAGTCTGTTCCAACCGTGCCAGCAATGCAAGCGAAAACATGGGTCTCAAGCCGTTGTTGCTTCAATTGAGACGGAATGATAGCATCCAACTGGGCTCATCTAGGATCGTACTTTTTGTGTGACCGTCCAGTCTAAAGCGTACCGAAACAGAAACAGTAATCATTTTCCTTTTGGTTTATGTAGTTGGGTTTCGGTTCATTCGTTTGATTGTTATATTTGTTAGACTTAGGAAAACTAAAGTATCGGTAATATCGGTTCTGCATCTGTATGACATCGTCCGGCGCCGAAGTAACACTTTAGCACATCTGGTATAGATCTCTAGCTGATTGATTGAAATCTCGTTGTTCGGTATTTCGTTAAAAGTATACTTATTCACTTATTAGGTTAACCGTACACATTCTGTCCGAGAGAGCACTGCATGGCTTGAGATGGTGTGGTTTTTTTTCCAGTAGATTCGCTTTCTTTTACTTACTTTCATCTATCTACTAACCGATAAACGATTTGATACTTGTGGAGAACATTATGCAATTGTTACACAATTCATTTCGATTCTGCAAAACTGGCTATTCGTCGTTCCTATTCGAATGAAAACTAACAAACAAGATCAAAATGATACGTCATTTCTCGCGTCACTTTTCAAATAGACCAATGTAACATATCCACCATTTTAAGAAAATCGAAGTTGAAGTTCGACAGTTTATTATTTTAACTGTTTAGAAGCAATACATTTTGCAATACTATTTTTATTGTAGTCAGTGAATAATAACGTTGAAAATACAGTAGAAACTGACGCATTTCGCGCCAAATCGAATCGAACCTGGCAGCACCCTCTCAGATTTCAATAAAATTTTCTGGATGTGTAGACTTTGACTAAATAAGCACTTTTGCATACTCAGTTTTTCCAAAATTTATCTAGACTAACATTTGAGAAGGGCCAAACTTTTTCTGCCGATTTTTTTCAAAAAAATATTATGAAAAAATGACAACTCCAACAAAAATATGTTGTATGGCTACTTTTAGGAAATTGACCAAATTATCGAAAAAAATACTGAAAAAAAAATTTCATTTGTGACCTACACTGAAAAAAATCGATTTTAAAAATTTAAAGTCGATTTAAAAAAAATGGCCATGTTTGATTTGGATGAAACTTGCCTCAAGATAGGTAATTATGTTTACTACCAACCGTCGATACATCGCGAGATGGGCACTTTTAAGGAAAAAAAGTTTTTCTTACAAAAACTTTTTCAAGTCTGAACTGATTTTTTTTTTTGATTTGCCATTTTTACACAAAACTAAACCAGTGAAGCTCAAAATCATCTCAGAATCCAATGAAGCTCAATTTGCGATTCAATTTTGTCTAATCAGCACTTAAGTTCACTTTGATTAATCGAGAATTTCATATGAAAAGGGCTCATGATGCATTTCTCGCCAAATCAACATCTTGTTTGTCATTTGATTCTAATAGCAAAGTAAGTTCCTCTTCAATATGTTCATTGGAAGCACACTTTTCGCAAGCACGGAAAAAGCAATCAGTTGTTCTAGTAGAAATATTACAAAGCATTTTTCTATTATTGAATCTTGTGACATAATTCTTAAACTGTTGATCATTATCAATTATCAAAAATGATCAATTAAGCGGCAAAAAGGTATTCTAATTCAGAAGATGAACCAAAAATATTTAACTTGATTGGAAAAAGGAAAAAATAACATGTATAAAAATAGGTTTAAATCATTGAAAATATATAAATAAATGATATATGAAAAATCTTGTTTTTTTCTCTCGCATATTATCAAATTTTGCATCAGTAGTAGAATAAGGGAATGATATTTTTTTGACAAGGTCTACATGTCCAAATAGTTTTATTGAACTCTGAGAGGGTGCTGCCAATTCCAAATACGATTTGGCGAGAAATGCATCATGAGCCCTTTTCATATGAAATTCTCGATTAATCAAAGTGAACTTAAGTGCTGATTAGACAAAATTGAATCGCAAATTGAGCTTCATTGGATTCTGAGATGATTTTGAGCTTCACTGGTTTAGTTTTGTGTAAAAATGGCAAATCAAAAAAAATCAGTTCAGTCATGAAACAGTTTTTGTAAGAAAAACTTTTTTTTCCTTAAAAGTGCCCATCTTGCAATGTATGGACGGTTGGTAGTAAACATAATTACCTATCTTGAGGCAAAGTTTCATGCAAATCAAACATGGCCATTTTTTTTAAATCGTCTTTAAATTTTAAAAATCGATTTTTTTCAGTGTAGGTCTTAAATGAAATTTTTTCCAGTATTTTTTTTCGATAACTTGGATAACTTATAATAATATTTTTTTGTAAAAAATCGACAGAAAAAGTTTGGCCCTTCTCAAATGTTAGTCTAGATAAATTTTGGAGTGGCATATTTAGTCAAGGTCCACACATCCAGAAAGTTTAATTGAAATCTGAGTGGGTGCTGCCTGCTCCGAATACGATTTGGCGCGAAATGCGTCAACTGTAAAATCACAATTTTACTTTGAATTTCAAGCTACAATGTAGGAAAAAAGCACATAAAGGGTGATACGGTCAAAATTTGGTCAAGGGAAAACGCGTGTAAATCGGTGAAATCGTTTATTTAAAAAATCAAATTAAATTTCTTTTTCAAGTTCAATTAGTATAAAATTCAGGAAAAATATTCAGTTTGGCTTCCGCTTTTCCAAATCCGAATTGCCGGGCCTTACGCTTGACCCCTGCCATCAGATTTTGTACAGCCACCTTGTCCACCTTCTTCGCCGCAGAAAGCCAGTTTGCCTTGAACTGCTGCTCGCCCTTAGCAGTTTTTTTGGTCTTCTTTAGGTTCCGCTTGACAATAGCCCAGTATTTCTCAATTGGGCGGAGCTCTGGCGTGATGGGAGGGTTCTTGTCCTTGGGAACCACCTGCACGTTGTTGGCGGCGTACCACTCCATGGCCTTTTTACCGTAATGACAAGATGCCAAATCCGGCCAAAACAGTACGGAACAACCGTGTTTCTTCAAGAAAGGCAGCAAACGTTTATTCAAACACTCTTTCACGTAAATTTCTTGGTTGACAGTCCCGGAAGCTATGAAAATGCTGCTTTTCAAGCCACAGGTACAGATGGCTTGCCAAACCAGATATTTCTTTGCGAACTTTGACAGTTTCATGTGCTTGAAAACATCTGCTACCTTTCCCCTTCCTTTTGCCGTATAAAACTCCTGTCCCGGAAGCTGCTTGTAGTCGGCTTTGACGTAGGTTTCGTCGTCCATTACCACGCAGTCAAACTTCGTCAGCATCGTCGTGTACAGCCTCCGGGATCGCGCTTTGGCCGTCGTATTTTGTTTATCATCGCGATTTGGAGTCACTACCTTCTTGTAAGTCGATAGTCCGGCTCGTTTTTTGGCTCGATGCACGGTTGTAGACGATACACCCAGCTTATTTGCGGAATCTCGGAGAGAGAGGTTAGGGTTTCGCTTGAAACTACCGGCAACTCTCTTTGTCGTCTCAGCGGCTTCCGGTTTTCGATTTCCCCCCCATCCAGACTTCCTGGCTGTCGACAAACGTTCCCCAAACACTTTAATTACATTTGTAACGGTTGATTTTGCAACTTTTAGCGATTTTGCCAACTTTGCGTGCGAGTAGCTCGGATTTTCGCGATGCGCGAGCAAAATTTTGATACGCTGCTCTTCTTGCTTGGACGGCATTTTGACAACTGAAGAGTGAATTCCAAAATCAAAATAGGAGCAACATTCTACACACACACACCTTCAAAATGAGGAGTGTTCAGGTTTTTTAAATGCAAAATTGAAAGAAATACGTCAAGTTGATATTGACCCAATTTTGACCGTATAACCCTTTAGAACGTTTTAACTAGTTGTACATCGGACTTGTTACATTGGAAGATTTTTCTCCATGACATAATCAATGAGTATTACATTGGACGTTTTGTTCTACACGATATTAGATTCCCTTTCACAGATTTCAGAGTAGAATACCTTACTTTAGATTGGTCCCGCGTTTAGAAAATGAGCACCAATCATGTTGGGCAGTTCAAATGACCGAAGTAACAATCATGTACCCATCATTTCAAACTGCACATTGGACAATTTTTGACCTATGATTATCTTAAATAAATGAAAGTAAGTTTGGATGGGTGTTTTTGTATCTTAACAATGATACTCAACTCGATTTGTTTGTATTTTTTTACTGAGGACCTTTTGAAAAGTGACGCGAGAATTTCATTCGACTAGCGAAAAATCAGGTGCCATATAAAAATTGATTTCCTTATTGTTGAGG